TCTTCCAGGCCAGCTCTCTGCTGTGGCCCGGGAAGGCAGTGGAGGATGGCCCAAGTGCTTGAGCCCTGCACCGGCATGGGAGACCAGGAGAAGCACCTGGCTCCTTGCTCCGGATCGATGCAGCGCGCCGGCCACAGCGTGCTGGCCATAGCAGCCATTTGGGGGGTGAACCAACAGAAAAGGAAGACCTTTCTCTCTGTCTCTCTCTCTTTCACTGTCTAACTCTACCTGTCAAAATAAATAAATAAATAAATAAAACCCCAGAAGCACAGACAATAAAGGCAAAAACAGACAAATGGGATTACATCAAGAAGCATTTACAACAGTGAAGGAAACACTCAACAATGTGAAGAGGCAACCTGACAGAATGGGAGAAAAATAGCAAATTTGCTGATAAAGGATTAATATTCACCATATAAAATGAATTCAAGAAACTCAACAACAACAAAGCAAGCAATCTAGTTATGAAATGGTTAAGGCAGACATTTTCCAAATGATGAAATACAAATGACCAACAGACACATAAAAAGATGCTTAGAGGGGCTGGCATTGTGGCACAGCAGGTTAAGCCTCCACCTGCAATACCAGTATCCAATATGAGTTAGGTTCAAGACCCGGCTGCTCCACTTCTGATCCAGCTCCCTGCTAATGCTCCTGGGGAAGCAGTAGAGGATAGTCCAAGTCCTTGGGCCCCAGCTCCCACGTGGGAAGAAGCTCTTGGCTCCTGGCTTTGGTCTGATCCAGCCCCAGCAATTGTGGCCATTTAGGGAGTGAACCAGCAAATAGAAGGTCTCTCTCTCTCTCTCTCTCTCTTCTCCTCCTCCCCTTCCTCCTCCTCTCTCTATAACTCTAGATCATTAGCCATCATGGAAATGCAAAGAAAATACACAATGAAGTTTTACCTCACCCTAGTTAAAATAGCTATCATCCAAAAGGCAAAAAATACCAAATACTCTTACTGAATTCTGTATTTAGTGGAGGGTTATGCTTGTGATTATTCATCAAATTAATTAAATTAAATATTAATTAAATTAATGTGAATTCAATTGGAAGTACATCATTGTGAAAATTAAAAAAAAAAAAATAAGAAAAGAAGGAGGAAGGATGTGAGTGAGGGAGGGACAGAGAATTTGGTGGGAAGTATCATTTGTTCCATTTATATGAATTTTTAAAAAGTAATAAAAGGAGTTAAACTGGCCTGGACACATGGAAAGGGTTTGTTTTTTTTTTTTTTTTTTTTAATCAAGCATCTAGTATTAACATAAAGATGGACAGAACAGAGAGTTCAAAGACACATCCACAGGCCGGCGCCATGGCTCACTAGGCTAATCCTCTGCCTTGTGGCGCCAGCACACCGGGTTCTAGTTCCGGACGGGGCGCCGGATTCTGTCCCGGTTGCCCCTCTTCCAGGCCAGCTCTCTGCTGTGGCCAGGGAGTGCAGTGGAGGATGGCCCAAGTGCTTGGGCCCTGCACCCCATGGGAGACCAGGATAAGTACCTGGCTCCTGCCTTCGGATCAGCACAGTGCGCCGGCCGCATCGTGCCAGGCGCGGCGGCCATTAGAGGGTGAACCAACGGCAAAGAAAGACCTTTCTTTCTGTCTCTCTCTCATTGTCCACTCTGCCTGTAAAAAAAAAAGACACATCCACAATTAAATGATAAATTGATTTTTGAGTGAGATGCCAAGACAATTCAGTGGAGCAAGGAAATAATATTTCAAGCAAATTGTAATGGGAAAATGGTATGTTCCTATGTGAAAAAGAATACTAGCCCTTACTTTACCCCATATACAAAGTTTAACCAGAAATGGATCATACTCCTAAATGCAAGATAAATAGCTAAAAAAAAAAAGCTTCTAGAAGATATTAAAGGAGAAAAAATACACTGAACTTTGGTCAAGCAAGAGACTTTTAAATAAGGCACAAAGGAAAAAAATAAATTTTAACTTGACTCAAATCAAGAATTTTTGCTTTTATAGAATATTATTAAGTCTTAATATTTGTAGGAAAGTGGATGGAACTAGAGAACATTGTGTTATATTAAATAAGCCAGATGCAAAAATTCTACATGTTCTTACTCATATAGTTAAAAATGTTGATTTCAAAGAAGGGGATAGAAAATTCATTACCACAGGCTGAGAAGGGAAATTGGATAGCAGGTATGTCTGAAAACACAGGGAGGGGGAATAAATTCTAGTGTTCTACACACATCAGGATGACCATTACTTGCAAAGCCTATGATATATTTTATGAAGAACGAGAAGAGATGAGTTCTATGCACAAAACACAAAGAAATGATAAGGAAATGGAAATAACAATCTTATTTGATCATTACACATTGTATACATGTATTGGATTGTTACATTATATTCTATAAATATGTGCAATTATTATGTCAGTTTAAAAGAAACATCAAACAGATAAAAAAGAAACAAAAGAATCTTATGATGGTAAGCAGATGGTTTACTAATCCACTTGTGTGCATGTACAAAATGCAAAAAATGTTTAAATAAAAAAATAGAAAATCAAGCCACAGATTGAGAGAATATATTTGCGATAACTATAATTGTCAAGTAACACACAGAATATATATAAAACTTTCATAACTCAACAACAACACAAAACAGCCTCATAGGCCACAGATTATAAAAGGCACTTCAAAGAACACATATACAAATGATCAGTAAGTGCAGAAAAAATTGTTCAACATAACTAATCATTATAAATTTTAAATAAAGTAAATCCACAATGAAATACCAAGACAAACTACTAGAAAAGCTAACATTAAAAAAGTGAAATAACAAGAAATGCAAGGATGTGGAGGAGCACCTGGAACATCCAAACCTTGCTGGTGAAAATGCAAAATGTGAAGCTGGCACTGTGGCATAGGGTAAAGCCGCCGCCTACAGTACCAGCATCCCATATGAGTGCTGGTTTGAGTCCCAGCTGCTTCATTTCCAATCAAGCTCTCTGTATGGACTGGGAAGGCAGTGGAGGATGGCCTGAGTGCTTGGGCCCTTGCACCCACATGTGACACCCAGAGGAAGCTCTTGGCTTCTGGCTAAAGTTCGGCACAGTGCCGGTCATTGTAGCCATTTGGGATAGAACCAGTAGATGGAAGATTCTCTGCATCTGCCTCTCTGTAACTCTGTGTATCAAATAAATGAATAAATCTTTAAAAATGGTTCAGGCCGGCACTGTGTTGCAGTGGGTTAAAGACCCAGCCTGCAGTGCCGGCATCCCATATGGGATCATGTCCCGGTTCATGTCCCAGTTGCTCCTCTTCTGATCCAGCTCAATGCTATGGCCTAAGAAAGCAGTTTAAGATGGCCCAACTCCTTGGGCCACTGCACCTGTGTGGGAGACCTGGAAGAAATTCCTGGCTCCTGCCTTCAGATCAGCTTTTTTCTGGCCGTTTCGATCATTTGGAGAGTGAGCCAACAGAATGGAAGATCTCTCTTTCTGGCTCTACCTCTCAGTAACTCTGTCTTTCAAATAAATAAAATAATTCTTTAAAAAAATTAAAAATGGTTCATAAAAATGCTAAATATTTACATCTATGCATGTAACTGTATTTTACATATCTATAGACAGCAAGAGAGCGAGCACAAAAGTGCCTAAAATGTTGGAAATTGACTAATCTGAGTGAAGCGGTTGAGATGTTCAGTGGCTTTTCACTTTTATGTACATTTGAAAATTTTCAGAATAAAAATTAGTAGAAATATTATTTTTACATTTTATATAAAAACTATTCACATTATTCTGTTGTTTGGAGCTCATCCTAGTATCTCTATTAATTATGTGGAATAAGATTTGCTCCTTAAAACCAACCCTTTGAAGTAGCAAAATAGTCAGTTTACAAGGATAAATTGTGAGGTTTCTATGTGAAAGCACAGAAAGATGGCATATGAGCTTTCACAGCAACAAGTAAAAGACAATTCTTTAGAAGCTTTTGTGGAATGAGCATTTCATGCAATTCTTGGGATGCCCATATCTCATATCAAAGTGTTCAGGTTCAAGTCCTGGATCTGTTTCTGTTTCTAGCTTCCTACTGATATGCACGTTGAAGGCAGCAGGTAATGGCGCAGGTACCTGGATCATGGATACTTACATAGGAGACTTGGATTGAGTCTCAGAATCCTGCTTTTTGCCTGTACAGCCCCAAATGTTGCAGGCATTTAGGGATTTAGGAGAGTGTACCAGAGAATGAAAGATTCTCTCTCTCTCTCTCTCTCATACATGCCATTTCCAGGAAAACCAAATAAACTTTAAAAAGCACCAGACATTGTATCTGTACAATGATGGGTTTGAAATGAGTCATCTTTAGTTGTTTTCAAAGATGATGATTGGAAGTAAACAACATAGACCTCCACTTCCTACCACTATGCTGCTGTTTTGTAAAGAAAAGGAACAACTACATTGAGAATATTATATGTAATCTAAGAAATAAGCCTAAACCACATATTCTTAGAAAGCATCTGAGCATATTCTCTGCTATTTTCAGGTCCTGCCTCTGTAATTTTTCAGATCAAGTAATTGAAAGCCAAAAATGCAACTTTCTTATGATCAATCTGCTTTTCATTTGCAGAACTCAGACTAGATCAGAGTCTCCTAAACCTTTGTTACATGTGCTTTCGTGTTGAAAAGACAGAGACTATGAAGAAGTGAAGACCAAAGAAAATAGGCTTGTTCACCAAATCTAATATAAGAACTTCAAATATCTTTTCTTAAACCTCAAATGAGATCATTTTAAGGGAAAGGAAATAAAATGGTTTTTTTACACAGAAAATAGTAATAGTATGTAATTGTTATCTCAAGAGACAGCATAAAGCACAAATAAAAACAGCATCCAAAAAAGTTTAGATAGTCACAGAGCATAAATTAGTGCTATGTTATTGTGAAGGGAAGCTACTCACGGAATGTGAGGTGGTGCAAATAGCAGTGAACCACAAATTTCTGAGTTCCAGACCTGCAAATTGGTCCTACTGCTTCGACAACCTGGAACCTTAAAGAAACTTCTTTGTCTTCTGCTCACCTCAAATTTTGTTGTCAAAAAGGAGGATTAGACTTGACAAGTATTTTTCAAAGTGTGTTCTTCAGAACATTAGTTCCATGATATCATCTGCAAAAAGGGATTTTGAAGCCAAATGATTTCAACAAATTTTTAATATTATACGTTTCTCTTAGAAATGTATGATACACATGAGAATAGTAACAATGCTCAGAAGTCACAAACACAGTACACTCTCAAACTTTATTTCACTGAATAATTTTTCAAACATATAATTACAGGATGCATTTTTCATAGAATGCATATTAACATCATGTAGGAATACTACTTCATGGAAACTCTTTTGGATAACTGTATATTTCCTTTGAGTGCCTTGATACAGGTAATGCCTTGCCTGAAATCTATTCCATGTATAATGTCTTTTTTTAAAAAGACTTATTTATTTTATTTGAAAGGCAGAATTACAGAGAGAGGGAGAGACAGAGAGAGAAAGATCTTCCATCTACTGGTTTACTCCCCAGTGGCCACAATAGCCGGAGCTGGGCCAGATCGAAGCCAGGACCCGGGAGCTTCTTCCAGGTCTCCCATGTGGTGCAGGGACCCAAGTACTTGGGGCATCTTCTACTGCTTTCCCAAGCACATTAGCAGAGAGCTGGATCAGAAGTGGAACAGCCCGGAATCAAACCAGTGCCCATAAGAGATACCAGCAGCACAGATGGAGGCTTAACCCACTATGCCACAGTGACAGCCCCTATAATGTCTTTTTGATGTAGGTTTAGGGGCAAGAATGTGTATCAGAGGGAACAACACACACACATGTGCACAAACACATTTTTTATATTTACATTTTATTTTATTTAATGAAGATAAATTTCCAAAGTACAGCTTATGGATTACAATAGCCCCCCCATAACTTCCATCCCACCCACAACACTCTCCTCTCCCACTCCCTCTCCCATTCCATTCACATCAAGATTAGTTTTCAATTATCTTTATATACAGAAGATCAATTTAGCATATATTAAGTAAATATTTCAACAGTTTGCACCCACACAGAAACACAAAGTGTAAAATACTATTTGAGTACTAGTTATAGCATTAAACACCTAAGAGTAATTGTGTATTAATTACAGAGTTCAACCAATAGTTTTAAGTAGAACATAAAAAATACTAAAAGGGTAAAGTATTAAGTTCTTTTTTTTTCTTTTTTTTTGTTTGTTATATAGTTATTTTTTATTTAATAAATGTGAATTTACAAAGTGCAACTTTTGTATTGTTGTGGCTTCCCACCACCCAACCTCCCTCCCTCCCATGGCCCTCCTCTCTCCCACTCCCTCTCCCATCCCGCCCTTCATCGAATTTCATTTTCAATTACCTTCATATACTGAAAATCAACTTAGTATATACTAAGCAGGGATTTCAACAGGCTGCACTCACACAACCACACAAGGTATAGGGTATTGTTCGACTGGTAGTGTTGTTTTTTAAGTTTCATAGTAGAACACATTAAGGACAGAGATCCTACGTGGGAAGCATGTACCCAGTGACAAACACATATATTTTTACATATATAAACATGTGCACATACACATACCTGCAAACACACATGGGCCAGATATCTTCCATTTGTTCCTCAAAATCTACTCTCAGGAGACCAATGATGAATTTCATCTTCAAGGCTCTTGCACCTTCTGGGTTCAGCCAACAGGAGGCACCATCACAAAACTGGATAAAGACAGTGAAGTAAACATTATTATTCCATTGGCTTCCTCTCTAAGAACTTATCTTGTATTTTTTGAGCCTCTTGACTGAAAACCACTACTCTTTTCCAGGTGGCCAATTCTACAGAACTGTCTCTCTATCGAGATTTTAACAACTGCTCCTTCTCCTACTCCTCCCCTGGGGGTGATAAAGTACATGGACTATTATCTTGACAGACTGCACTATCCATTATTGTTCCCATCTATCAGCTTTGCAAATAACACCTCTGTAAAAAGCTTCATTGTAAAGTAGTCTGGCTCAAATTATACTATTTTGAGTGTGCCATCTGCTTCTGGCTGGAACACTTAAATATTCCACTGTTTTCAGCAAGTTGAGTTTGATGTTCATATGGGGTCTCCAGGTGAAGATATAAATTAGTAGAAAATAAGATCTTTAGGTTTGGAACTAAAGAAGAAAAGAAGCCTAAACTAGTGCTACAGAACTGAGAATCATTGGTTATGAGGGGGAGTTGAAGCTATAGCAGAGGATATAATTGCCCAGTGAAAGAACAGAGCGAAGTGAGAACTTAACATAGAAGACAGCATGCAAAGAGGGAATATCGCTTCTTGTAAAGCCAGATTGTTAATAAGAAGCTAATTGTGTAAGGACCCTGTCAAAAACGAGGTCAATAATTTTTTTTTTTTTTGACAGGCAGAGTGGACAGTGAGAGAGACAGAGAGAAAGGTCTTCCTTTGCCGTTGGTTCACCCTCCAATGGCCGCCGCGGTCGGCGCGCTGCGGCCGGCGCACCGCGCTGATCCGATGGCAGGAGCCAGGAGCCAGGTGCTTTTCCTGGTCTCCCATGGGGTGCAGGGCCCAAGCACCTGGGCCATCCTCCACTGCACTCCCTGGCCACAGCAGAGGGCTGGCCTGGAAGAGGGGCAACCGGGACAGAATCCGGTGCCCCGACCGGGACTAGAACCCGGTGTGCCGGCGCCGCAAGGCGGAAGATTAGCCTAGTGAGCCGCGGCGCCGGCCCAATAATTTAATATATACATTTTATTCAGACCATCTCTGCCTATTAGAAGCATTTTTTCTAATGACTTCAGTTTGGGAGTACTTTAAACTTTAGTGCTGCTTAGATTTTCCTAGATCCTCTGCTTTTTTCGTGGCATAATGATTCTCCAGGCTTCCTGTTTAACATAACCTCCCTCTAGAGGATTTGTTAAACCAATTAATTTATAATTAACCAATTTTTTTCTGATTCAAGGCTAGAAATATAATTTCTCTTGACAATACCTGTTGATTTTATTGACCAATTTTTGTGATCGGAAATTGTTCCACTGCCTCTGTATAGACCATAAAACGCATCACTGCAGTGTTACCTGAAAAGTCAGTTACCTGGGGCCAACTCAGTTTTCATTCTTGTAATAATGGGAAAAATATCCTACACTACAGGAATTTAAAGGTACATTTGAAAAGATGCATCATGGAATCATAAAAGATTCCTGCATTAGCAATCAGGAGATCTGGGTTTTAAAGCTGAAAATCGACCAAATTTGACTTTTGGCCCCAGTTTTCTCATCTACAACATCAAAGAGTTGGACTAGATTGCTATTTTTCAAAATATATTCCTTGGAGCCCTGGGGAACTACTTCAGAAGGCCTTTAAGGAAGCAAAGTGAGACTGAGAAGGTGGCTCTTTGTTCATATGCTCCCTCTTGCAAAGCAGCTTTGCTTTTCTCTTGTAGATTTTTGATACCATGTAAGATTTCATGTGAATGAAACACTGCTCAAGCTCAACCAACCAACAACTCCAGACTAGATGATTTTTGAAATATCTTCTAGAGCTGACCATCCAGGAATTTAAATATGATGGCACAAATAATAGTATCTTCCCTTAAGACTATTCCGCAAGATCCTCCTTCCTGCTCAAAGGTTTAAATGCTGTGCAGGCAGAGGAAGTTAACAGCTGAATGATCTCCCTCTCCTGGTCCTGGTGCTGCCTTACTCTGTCTTAAGCCCCTACCTCCAGTTTTGCAGTGGGAGACAGGTGGAGCCTAGACTTCATTGTGATGTGCTTTTGGTCCTCCTCCCACTGTGCATTATTCAGGGCTATGTGGGAGAGGGTTACTATTTAGGTAAGATGGGCCAGACTCCAAAATTGGAAAGCAAACAAACTTGAAATGTTTCTCTCACCAAATTGTGCTCTCTAATCTCTTCCCTTCCATCTTTATTTATTCTTCTGTTAATTTTGTGGTTGGAACAAGTCTAAATATAAATGAAATCTCCCCCAGCTGGCCAATCTCTCCAGCCAGATACCAAAGTATAGGGAACCGTGTTACTGTTACCATTTGCTTCACATCTGGAGTCTCAAGAAAATTAAGGGGGCAAGGACATGTTTTGGCCAATATCTCCTAACAGGAATCCTGAGGCTAGGCTTTGTGGATACTGAGCCAGGAAAGATAATACAGACAGAATACTCTTGGTTTTAGCAAGGAAAATGTGTAGAAAAGATTAGTCTCCATAGAAGACATGAATTGCTTGGCAGGAATGCAGTTTACAGGGCAGGCCCGAGAGAGACACTAATAAGAACCCCCCAGAAATTAGCTCCCAGATGACTCCCCAGGAAGCTTAGAATGGAAAAAATCGGGGCTCAAACTGCCAGAGGAAGTCAGGAAAAGAAGCAGCAAATATGTCAGAGGAGGTAAGGAGCCCTTTCTTTGTCAGAGCTGCTGCATTGTCTCACTGATGTCCCCTTATTCATTTATGAGGGGCTCAGGGAGAAAAGGAATGAAGGCTAAGATTAGAATCCTCTTGTGCTCTTTAACATCAATTTTCGACTTTGTTTGAAGAATAAGAATTGTAGATGTAGTGTTATAATGAATTGGAGTTCAACACACTGACTGCAGTGCCAGCTAAGTGTCAGACCATGTGCTAGACCAAAAAGCCTATAGCCTAATGGTGGAAAGAGTAAGGAGAAATCCAACACAATGCAGTGAATGGACCAACAGTGGTTGGAAAAGCACATCACATAAGGATAAAGGAGGATCACGACACAAAGACACATAGCTTCATAGAATATCATCATTAGAAAGAAAGAAATAGAGAATATGCAGTCCAATCCCTTCTCTGTATAGATGGAAGAAATGAAGTCTAGAGTAATGAAGGCACTTCATCCAAGGTCACAGAACTAACCATTGACAAAGCTGCACTCCTCATTTAAAGAATCAGGCTGTCATCTCTCTTCCTTTCTGTAGAGATGATGAATTTTATACTCCTTCAATATGGTCCTTTGGCCTGTAAATTATCCCAGGATCCCCAGCCTAGGGAAAAATCTAGGAGAAGTTGGTGAGGGGTTTCTGCACCGTGGAGGACATGCCTATTTGTCTCTTGGAGAAGCAGAGCAGATCTAACTTTGTGTGTCTTTTCTCTTAGGATGATAGGCTCCACATGAATAGGTTTACATAGAAATTTGTCATCCCCTAATAACAGTATTAGGGGTCCAGGTTTATCCAAGAAGTAGTGGAATTATGGTTGTGAAGGAAACCTCTTAGGTCCCCTTCTATTTCCCACTTCAAAGTTGTGGTCTCTAATCCTCTCAGCAGGACAAAGATAGCCAAGTTTCTCTAATTCTACTTACATTTTCATAATCCTGTTAGGTAATAATTTGATTCCTTCTGGTGTTCTTCCAATAACAGGGAGATTGCTTTTCTCAGAGATAGAGCATTATATCCCAGAATACATTTGTTAAAAAGTGATATCTTTTGATGAATAGATGGACATCTGCTTTTGTAAAGTTTCTGCTTTCTTTGGGAACATTTTCATTAGGTAGGTCTCCTCTGCCTTTGGTGATGTGGAAACCACAATTATGTTATCTTGAGCTTTCTTTCTCAGGCTAAATAGTCTCACATCTTTCAGTTGTTCTTCATGGGACCCAGACTCTAGCTCTTTCCTTCTTCCTTGATTTTGATCCTCTGGACATGTACTCAGTTAGGATCAGGAAGAGAATATGGGGAAAAGATACTCTTTCATATACTGCTAGTGGAAATGTTAATTGGCAGATATTTGGATAGCATAATTGGACAAATTAATGAATATCTTAAATATGTTTGAGAAACTCTACTGCTAAGACTCGATCCTATAGAAACATCAGCATGAGTGGATAGACAGAGATAAATAGGTAGGTAGATAGGCAGATAGATAAAAATGGTATTGCTTATCATAGCAGATAATTGGAAAAACGTAAGTGCCCACTAAAAGAACATTGATTTTGAAAAATGCTATCATCATACTATGAAAAGAAGTGCCAGCACTGATGACAGAAGATCTATGTAATAATATGGAGATATGCCCAAAGTGCATTAAATGAAAAAAGTAAGTTGAAAGTTAACATGCATTGTATGATTTCATTTTTGTAAAAAAAGCCACAAACTATGCATGATGTATTGATATGGAAACATAAATTTTATAGATATAGAAAACATCTGAAAAGATACACAAATTATCTCTAAGAAGTGGACTTAAGCTTGCCTTCATCATTTTCTTCTTTAAATTTCTATACTGAATTCAATGACCATGGACCACTTTTGCAAATTAAAATAATTATTATAAAACAAAAGTTTGGGAGCTAGTGCTATGCCGTAGCCAGTAAATCCGTCGCCTGCAGTGCCAGCATCCCATATGGGTGTGAGTTTGAGTCCTGGCTGCTCCACTTCAGATCTAGCTCTCTGCTATGGCCTGGGAAAGCAGAAGAAGATGGCCCAAGTCCTTGGGTCCCTGCACCCATGTGGGAGACCAGGAAGAAGCTCCTGGCTCCTGGCTTCGGATCGGCACAGCTCTGGCTGTTGTGTTCAATTGGGGAGTAAACCAGCGGATGGAAAACCTGACTCTCTCTCTCTCTCTGCCTCTGCCTCTCTGTAACTCTGCCTTTCAAATAAAATAAATAAATCTTAAAAAAAAAGAACATGAAAAGGTGGCTAAGGAATCCCCAGTGTTCCATGTTCCCTACTCTCTTGTTCATTAT